CCAGTGCCCGCCCAATTCTGGAGATCTACTCGGCCTCGGGGCTGCTCCTGGCCAGTGTCCCGGTGAGCCCCGAGGGTGACACCCCCTCTTGGGGAGGGGACAGGGGGGTAGGACAGTGCCAGCAGCCCTGGGGAGTGTTCAGGGGCAAGGGACAGTGCCAGGACCCCTGGGGAGCACTGGGGATGGGAGAGTGGGTGCAGGGGGCAGTGGGAGGAGAAGGAGGTGGCCAGGGATAGGAGAAATGGATAGGATGGAGATAGGAGCATCAGGATTGGAGCAGAAGAAGAATCCTCCTTTTCCTGCTGTCCAGGGTTGGGAGAAGAGGTTGGGATGGGGCTTGGAGTAGCAGGAGAATCTTCCTTTTCCTGCTGCCCAGGAATGGGAGATGAGAGTGGGATGGGGATTGGGCAGCAGGATTGGAGCAGCAGGAACATATTCCCTTCCCTCTGTGTGGGACTGGGGGGAACACTGGATAGTAGAGGGACAGGAAAGGTTGCCACAACTGCAAAGACCTGCAGGGACAGGACAGGTGAGGTGTTGGACCTCCAGGTGAGGTGTCAGATCTCAACCACAGCAGTTGGCCTTGCACGCATCCCCCTGGACGTGCCTCCCGCTCTGGGTTGTCCAGAGCAGCCCCAGGGCTGACCCATCCCATCCCACAGTGGAAGAGTGGCCCACTGGTACACCTGGGCTGGACAGCAGGGGAGGACCTGCTCTGCATCCAAGAGGATGGGACTGTGCTCATCTACAACCTCTTCTGCGAGTTCAAGCGCCACTTCAGCATGGGCAACGTGAGTGGGGGCTGAGGGATTTGGGGGTCAGGGACTGGTTTTGGTGGGAAGGACCTGAAATCCCACCCAGGGACACCTCCCACCAGCCCAGGTGGCTCTAAGCCCCATTCAACTTTGTCTGGAACACTTCCAGGGATGAAGCAGCCACAGCTGCTCTGGGCAACCTGTGCCAGTGCCTCACCACCCTCACAGCGACAAATTCCTTCCCAATATGCCACACAAACTTCCCCTTTTCCAGTATGATTCCATTCCCGCTTGTCCTACCACACCATCCCTTGTGTGACCCCCAGGGTGGGTTTGGGAGGAGACAGGATTGAGCACTTGGGGCTCAGGAGGGCTCCAGGAATAAGCTGGGATCCATTCCCACAGCCCTTGGAGCCAAGACAATCCTTCATTGCTACCTACCTGAGTGCCAAGCCCCAGTGCCCCGAGTTCTCCCAGTGCTCCCAGTGCCCATCCCAATCCCTGTTCCTCCGCAGGAGGTGCTGCAGAACCACGTGCTAGAGGCCAAGGTGTTCCACACGGAGTATGGCACCGGTGTGGCCATCCTGACCGGAGCTCTGCGCTTCTCCCTGGCCACCAACATTGACGATCTCAAGCTACGGCGTCTGCCTGAGGTCCCTGGTGGGTGTCCCCACTGGCCTGGGGACTTGGGGGACTCAGGGGGCTCAGGGGCTGACCCTGGTGCCCTCCAGGGCTGCAGAAGGCGCCACCGTGCTGGGCCGTGCTGTGCCAGGACAGGGTGACCATGGTGCTGCTGGCGGTGGGACAGGACCTCTTCCTGCTGGACAACACCTCCTGCTCCGTAGTGGTGAGGGCGTGGGGGGCAATTGGCTGGCCCCAGGGTCCCATGGGATGTTTCGGGCACTGACTCTGTCCCATGGGCTGTGCCCAGGTCCTTCCTCTGATCCGTGGGATGTGCCCAGGTCCATCTTCTGTCCCCACTGTCCCATGGGATGCTCTCAGATCCTTCCTTTGTCCCAGCTGTCCCATGGGATGCTCCCAGCCCCACCCACTCTCTCAGGTCCTTCCTCTGACACATGGGATGTTTCCAACCCCTCACACTTGCAATCATATCCTTTCCCTGCCATATGGGATGTGCCCAGGTCCTTCCCCTGTTCCATGGGATGCTTCCAGCCCCCACACTCATTCCCAAGTCCTTTTCCTGTCCTGTGGGATGCTCCCAGATCCTTCCCCTGTTCCCAGTGTCTCATGGGATGCTCCCAACCCCCCCACTCTCTCCCAGGTCCTTCCCTTGTTTCTCTCTGTCCCATTGGATACTCCCAGGTCCTTCCCCTGTCCCATGGGATGCTCCCAGGCCCCCAGATGACCCTACCTGTCCTGCCCAGACCCCCCCAGGGCTGAGCCCCTCGGCAGGGCCTTACGTGCACATGGCTGTGTCCTTCAACCATCGCTACTTGGCTCTCCTCACCGACAGTGGCCACGGCTGGATGGGACTAGCCACCCTGAAGGTGAGCACACCTGGCCGGGATGGTCTGGGAGGCTCAGCACACCCCTGGCACACAGTCTGGGCATTCACTGGGGTTCTGGCTGCTCCCATGGGACCCTCCAGGGCACAGCGCCCACATTCCCAGTGCCCAGGATACTTCCATGGGAAACTTAGGTGTGTGCCTGATCCCTGTCTCTGCCCCAGGAGAAGTTCTGTGAGTTCAACAGCACCATCCGAGCACCCCCCAAGCAGATGGTCTGGTGAGTGGGTGGTCCTGCTGTCCCCTGACCCTGGGTGTTCCCACCTGATGCCTGAGGCTTTCTGGGGTGCCCTTGGTTCTGTGGGACCCTCTGGTGTCTCCCCTGAGCCGTGGGGGGCTGCAGGACCAGGGTTAATGGGGTTGGGGTCCCCACTGGATCATGGGGGTCAGCAGAGGTTGGGGTTAATGGGTTGGGGGTCCCCACTGAGCCATGGAGGGTGCAGGGCCAGGGTTAATGGGTTGGGGGTCCCCTTGGCTATGTGGGACCCTCTGGTGTCCCTGCTCAGGTGTGGGGGCTGCAGGGACCAGGGTTAATGGGGGTTGCAGGAGCTGTGGCTCACAGAGGGGTCTGCACTGGGCCCGGGGGTCTGCAGGGGTTTGAGTTCACAGGTGGGGGTCCCCTAGTATCTGGGATCCTCTGGTGTCCCCCCTGATCCATGGGGAATCCCGGGGGTCCCCAGGTGCACACGCCCCCGCAGCCGGCACCGAGCCGTGGTGTTGGCCTGGGACCGACAGCTGATGCTGCTGGGCAATTCCTCGGAATGCATCCAGTATCCTTTGGGAACAGGAACAGGAACAGCAACCCAGAGCCAGCCCAGGTCCATGTGCCACTGCCACCGCACTGGGGTCCCTGGGGGTCCCCTCAGTGCCCCCAGGGTGTGCAGAACACACTGACCTCATTCTGTTGTGATCCCCCAACCCCTCCCTGTCCTGTACAGCTCCAAATCTCCTCCTGCCCCCCCAGGGCCCCTGTCCCCCCTTCTCTGAGCCTCCCCATTTCAGAGCTCCCACTCCCCTGTTGTGGTGGGTCATTGGCCCTGCCTAGGACTGCTGGGGTATTTCTGCCCCCCTGAAGTACTCTGCAGCCCCTAGGTCCTTCCTCCTGCTGTCCCAGGGACAGGTGTGTCCCCCAAGGACACGTTCCCCAGCTTGGCCAGGGCAGAGGGATGAGGGCTGAGTGGGTTGAAGGGACCCCCCCAATCTGGACATCCCTCAGCCCCTTCCCCCCAGGGGAAGCCTTAGCAGAGTACAGGTTTGTCCTGGATGAGGATTCCTACCTGGTGCCAGAGCTGGATGGGGTCAGGATCCTGTCCCGCAGCTCCCACGAGTTCCTGCACGAGATCCCAGGTGAGACAGTGCTGGGGGAGACCCCCTAGGTGGGCAGGTGGGTCCTTGACACCTGGGATGTGCCATCCTGACACAGCTGTTCCCAGAGCAGCTGTTACTGCTCCATCCCTGGGAGTGTTCCAGGCCAGGTTGGATGGGGCTTGGATCCCCCTGGGCTGGTGGGAGGTGTCCCTGGGTGGGACTGCATGGGATTTAAGGTCTCTCCCACCCCAACCCATCCTATGTCCCATGTGCTGGAGCATGGTGCCAGCACAGGCTCTCCTGGAGTCCAGTGCTGAAGGCAGGGAGGTGGCAGTGGGTGCAGGTCTGATGTGGAACAGCCCCTCAGGTGTGTTCTCTCCTGATCCCCACAGCACCGAGCCAGGAGATCTTCAGGATTGCCTCCATGGCTCCGGGGGCTTTGCTGCTGGAGGCACAGAAGGAGTATGAGGTACATCCCTCCCCTGGCAACTGGCAGGATGGAAATGGGGTGATCCTGGAGGTCCATCCGTAAGGATTCCATTCCCTGGTTCCTGACCTGTTCCCTGCAGAAGGAGAGTCAGAAGGCTGATGAGTACCTGCGGGAGATCAAGGACCAGCAGCTGCTCCCCGAGGCCGTGGACGAGTGCATCGAGGCCGCAGGCTACGAGCATGAGCCTGACACGCAGAAGTCACTGCTAAGGGTGAGTGAGGAGGAAGAGGAGGCTGAAGGGTTGTGCCCTCAGCACAGCCCTGTGACACATCTGATTACAGAATCGTGGAATCATCAGGGTTGGAGGAGACCTCCAAGATCATCAAGTCCAACCTCCAACCTGTCACTGCTGTGACTACTAAACCCCAAACCTTTCAGCACCAAGTCCAGACACCTCTTAAGTCCAGACACGCTGCCACGGATGGTGACTCCACCACCTCCCTGCGTAGTTCCCTATTCCAGTGCTTATTCCAGTGTCTGACCACCCTAACAGTGAAGAACTAATATTTTCCTTGACTGCCCTGTCTCAGCTCATGGCCATTCCCTCTAGTCATAGAATCATGGAGTCATCAAGGTCAGAAGAGACCTCTGAGATCATCAAGTCCAAGCATTAACCTGTCACTGCTGTAACGCCTAAACCCTAACCCATATCTCCAGCACCAGGTCCAGACACCTCTGAAACACCTCTGGGAATGGTGACTCCACCACCTCCATGGGCAATTCCCTATTCCCGTGCCTGACCGTGGCCATTCCCTCTAGTCCTCTCCCTGCAGTCATGACAGGAGAGACCATCTCCTACCTCTCCACAACCCTTTCAGTTAGTTGTAGGAGGCCAAGGAGCCACCCCTGAACCTCTTCCCAAGGCTGAACAAACCCAACTCCCTCAGCCCTTCCTCATGTGTTCTAGAACTTAGATGAGCCTCATAGGGCATGTGTTCTAGGCCTTTTATGAGCCTTGTTGCCCTTCTCTGGACTCTTTCCAGCACCTCAATGTCCTTTTTCAAGTGAGAGGCCCAAAACTGGACACAGCCCTCAGGTGTGACCTCACCGGTGCTGAGTCCAGGGGGACAGTCGCTGCCCTACTCCTGCTGCCACACTGTGCTTGATTCAGTCCAAGATGCCATTGCCCTTCTTGGCCACCTGAGCACACTGTTGGTCAACCAGCACTCCCAAGTCCCTTTCTGACTATCCCACAGGCAGCATCCTTTGGGAAGTGCTTCCTGGACAAGTTCCCCTCAGAGAGCTTCGTGCGCATGTGCCAGGACCTGCGGATCCTCAATGCCGTCAGGGACTACCAGATTGGCATCCCCCTCACCTTCACTCAGTATCCTCACCTGGGCCAGGGGGATGCTGGGGTGGGGGCTGCAGGGCCCTTTGGTGCTGGTGCCACAGGGCATGGGGACATTTATAGCAACTGGTGAGGTCCATGCTCATCACTCATCCACACGTGGCAGAGATGCCAGGACAGGGATGCTCCCGGGTTGGGCAAGGATACTTCTGAGGTGGACAAGTATGATGCCAGGGGTAGGCAGGGATGGTGCCAGGCAGTGAAGGATGCTGCAGGGGCTGGGCAGGTGCCCTGCACACCCTGTCAGTGCTCTGTGGGGTGATGTGGTCCCAGATGTCCCTTGACTGTCCCCACAGATACAAGCAGCTCACCATTGAGGTGCTGCTGGACAGGTAATGGCCCCACAGCCCCTTCACGAGCAGCCTGGGCTTGCTGCAGTGCCCATCCTGTGTTCCCTGTCCCCATGGTCTCTGTCCCACACTTCCCATCCCCATATCCAGGGCTGAGCAGCTCCAAGCACTTGGGGGCCCCCCAAACCCAACTGAGCTCCTCAACTCCTTGTACCCACTTGTGGCCACACTGCTGACCCCCCTGTGTGCCCCTCCA